TGCGATCACACCGGCGTGGAGCACACCCCGCCGCGGTGCTCTCCCGAAACACGAGCGGCTTGCGCAAGCCGCCTCTTCTCCCGGCGCCTCGAGGTCCTTCTCCCCCCACCTGCCACCAGACCAGAACTGGCTCAACTCTGTCCTGAATGAGTATTCATAAGCTATTTGCCACACTGGAAGGGAAAAGAAGTTGAAGTGGCAACAGCCTCACCCCTCCCTCTTCTAGCCCGGGGAGATGCCTACAGCATGGCCTGGCCCTTTCCATTTTACACCCTGGCTTTTCCCTACTTGCCACCTGATGTGACCCCAAGTGTCTGCCTTGGGGCCCTGGTGACTCACAGGCAGGTCAGTTCCTTCAGGTCCTCTCCAGAAACATCAGCCCCCTCGCGTTTCATAAGGACAAGGCTGAGATCAACGGCAGTGAAAGACCCACGCAGGGGGTGGGGGGGCAAAGTGCTTCTCCTTGAACTTTCCTCTGCGGCTCACAAGTCAGTGCAGAAACTCGAAAAGTAACACGCAGCCCGCCCCAGTCCACCAAGCCACTTGGGTTGGCTCCAAAGGAGAAAATTCTGCATGTGACTTGTCACATACAGGTCGCAAACTAATTCCTAGCCTGGCTGATTTGTGACAGAATTGCCAGTAAGACAAGTAAGTTGTGAGTTATGGAAATATTCAAAAACAGGAGAAAACAGGCTGCCAGGAACCAGAGTTGAGCGATGGCAAGGTGCCTTGCTGGGATTCACTGTGTCCCATTTCCTCTGGCTCACCTCACGGGAAAACCAAGTGAAACAGGCCAAGCTCAGCTGAGCTTGAATTGCCGCTAAGGACCACAGGGCTATTCTGGTGCTTTAAAACCCCCAGTGCACCCTTCAGCGTCCAGAATACGCCATCCCTCCCGTTATTATGGCAGTCCTGAGACGAAGCTAGAGCTCCTCTGTCAAATAACCACCACGCGGTCTCTGCCTCACCCCCCAGCCTTGACCACAAGTCACCGCATCGAGGGGGTTAGGACCCCACTTCTCGCATCGCCCTCCCCCTTCTTTGGTTGAGTAGCCGGGACTCACGTGAAGGCAAAGAAGAGGGTGGTGGCTCCCACTAGGAAGATGGCAGCAGCTGAGACTGGGACGTATTTGCTGGGTTTGAACCTCTTTCCAGATGCTGCTGGCATGTTGGAGCTCTGGTGGGGGATCCGCTCTGCAGCATAGCCCAGGCCCAGCTGGAGTCAGAACAAACACGAAAAGGGGAGGGGAGACGGAAGGGGGTAAACCACTGCCCAACTTCCTAAATTACTCTTTGAGCGAGTTCTGAACAGAGCAGACAGTCTGCAGGAGTCCACCACGGTCTCTGGAGTGAGAAGCCCAAGAGCGCAGCCAGAAGAATCCACGCTATTCTCTGCCCTCCAAGCGTTTGAGGGCGCGGGGAAGGAGATTTAAAAACGTTAAAAACTCAGAACGGAGAACTGGATTTGGATTTAAAACAACCGTTGGGGTAGGAATGCTGAGAGCTCTTAAGAGCTTCCCTCAGTCAGGCAACAGCCTGCAAGAAGCAGGTCCCCACGAAGCTTATGGTGGCACCCAGACTTCAAAGAGAAGGCAAGCGTTTCTAGGCTAGGGCGACGGGAAGGTGACGAGCAAAACTTGCAGCACTGTGAGATGAGGAGCTGGGTGCACCTTCCCACCCAGCAAGCACCCTGGGAACGAGCAAGATATCGGTAGACTTCTTGCAAAAAGCCACTCCGGAGGTCTCAAGGAAGCCACTTCTCCTTTTTGATCTGCCCTTTGATATCCAGCAGTCCCCTCCGGTTGCTGCACAGGAGGAGGGGGTTGCAAGCAATCTGCCCAGCTTCCTTGCAAAGCTCTGCTGCCTCCTCCTCCTCCTCCCCCTCGCCGAAGGCAGTTGCAGAAACACTCTCCCTGATTTCACCAGGATCTGGGACTGGCTGGCTGGCGGTGGCTGTTTAATTTTATTTATTTCTCTCTTGACTGTTAAAGCCGAGTAACAGCTGGTGCAAGGTTTGAGCTGTAAATCCTTTCTTTGCAAGGGGGGCTGGAGGGGAAGGTCCAGTGGAATGTGCGTTTTCGTCCTCTTCCTACTTGTTCCTCTCTCCTGACCCTCTAGGCCTTTCAGCGGGCTGAGTCTTCACTCGGTTGTTATGAATCAACATGAATTTCATCAAAGCTTGTCTGTAGCAACCATCTCTAAGAAGCACAGGGTAGGTTAAGTGAGGGATCCGGAGGAGAGTTTTTCAAGGAGCACTTTTACAACCCCCCAAGACAACCGATGACGGAAACTAGGCCTGTCTCGTCCATGGTCTGAGGGGTGCGGAGGGAGATCTCAGTCTGTTCCAAGGTGCTCCATTTTTTCCTCCCCTCCCCTGAATAAAATTGTTCCTCATTAATCCATTGGTTTTAAAAACATCTACATAAAAACATTAAAACCTGGCATCTGGAACGCCACACCTCACCTAGAAAAAAAAAACAAACAAAAATAATTCAAATTAGCAAGGCAAGAGAAGAGAAACAGTCACGTTACGTACTAGAATAACACAGAGCTCCCCAGGACACCGAGCATGCATTTATTCAAGGAGGGGAAACGCAGCCTGGCAGATTTCAAACCACGTTCGCAAGTCGGGAGATGCTGATTTCCAAGCCCAGCTCTGACACAGATCGACGCCGCAGCCCCGGGCACATCACCTAACATCAGCGTCCCTTTTCACATCTGCAAAACTGGAGTAATGACCGCCCCGTGGAGGCTGTCATTAGCTACGGGATCCTCCGCTGCAGTCTGCCGTCTCACTTCCCATCCTCAAGGCCCTTTACACGCGTGCGGCGGGGAAGGCGCTGAGCACTCTCGGCGAGCGCCATCCCCTACTCCGCGCGGAGAAAACCAAGCCAAATAACCTGCCCGAGACCGCGGAAGAAATCTGTGCTGAGCCCGGAGCACGATGAGGGACCCTAAGACTCCTCGGCCAACGCTCGTACCTTTCCGCAGTAATAACTCAAGTCCTAACGCCACGAAACGCCTGCTCCCTTGAGGCGAAGGGACTAATCAGAGGCTTAGAGGCTTAATGTGAGGGTGGAGGCTGAAAAAGGAAAAGATAGCCAGGAATCTCGTCCCCTTCCCCCTCGAGGGTGCAAGACGAGCAAGGCCCGTGGAAAACGCCAACCTCTTGACTGGACAAGGTGCTTGTAGCTCTGGACAAAGGAGAGCTCAGTTCGCACCAGACAGCCCTGTTTTATGCTGCCTCTGAGAGCATGTCACCCTTGATTGATCGTGAGGGTGTAGGAGGGTGGGACAGATTACTTCAATACAGAAAACGGGGAAAAACAAACCTTCCTGAAAACGCAGGCAGGAGGCTGCAACCTGCCCCAAACTCCAAGCGCCCGTGAACCCATCACAGCTCAGGAACAAGCTGGACATAGATTATATTTCATCGATTATTGTTGTTATAGCAACTTTGCCTCGGCTCCAACTTCATTTGTCATACGTTCTCCACTTCGCTGCCTCCTTGTTTCGGCACGAAGCCTCCATTACGTTACAGATCCAAATACAGGGCCCCAACGACTTGTTCACTTTTTCACTCCGGTTTTGCCCTCTTTTGCTCCTCAAAGTTTTTTTCTTAGGGGTGGACAGGGAAAACTTAGTGCCCACTAAAACATTCACAAAGGTTGAGAGAACTGCAGCCCAAAATTCAAGGCGCGTTTAATGACCGGAATATATTCCAATTAAATCAGTTCAGTCACAAAACAAGGCGGCAGTCCCTCGGGCTGACTAATCAAGAAACCTCTCCCACTGCAGAGGAGCTCTGCCTTTGCAGAAACTAAGCTGCTCTTTTAAAACCAAGTTTTCAGCCCTTGTGACTAAAAGGAAACCTGGCATAACGCGACGGTGTTGTACTGATGTTCCTGAATCTGCAGGCAGAAAGCTCCAGTTTCACCTCGCCGGCAGCCCTCGACTCTGGCAAGTTTAAGAGTAAAACCAGCAAAAATAGGCATTTTCCCTGCCAGGAGCAGGGCTCCCCGGTAAGCAGGTGCTCCACAGCTTCACTTGAGCATCTCCTAAATACAATTCTGGGTTGCGACAACCCACAACACAAATGAGGCAACCTTAACTTTCGGGGAAAAGGCCAACCTCTCCCAAAGACAACCACTCCTGTGCTATCAGAAAGTAATTTTAATCTGAAGTAACTGCTGCTCTATTACAGATGGAGAGTTATTCTAGCAATAGGTTACTCTGAAGTTTAAAGATGACATCACTGCTAATTACTTCAGCAGAAACAAGCTGCTAACATGCTCATCTGCTGTAACAGAACATCCCAGGCCTTTGAAAAGTGCCTCCATAAAAACAAAGCCACACCTCAAATTCAAACACACTAGCAAACTTGAGAAGTTTTTCCTTTAATATTCCCCCACTGGAGATCCTCCCCTTTTCCATCGCTTTCCTTATGCAATGCAGTTAGTATTCTCCTCGATCAAGACAGATGTTTCCCAAAACCACTTCCCCCCGGAAAGCCAGGCTGCCTTCCCCAGACCCTGTCTCAGGGCGACCCAGGTCCTGCTCAATTCTGCCTGCGTCGTTACCAAGCCCCACTTAACGAGAGGTGCAGGAAATGAAGCCAAGTGCTCTTCATACTGGGCGATTCAGCACGTTCTGGCGTTCGCAAAGGTCCACGCGCCTTTGCAAGCAACACCTCAGTGAGGGGCGACACCACTATCATCCCCAGCTCCTAGCTGCCTTCACCCAAGAATAAACCCACAACTCAACGACCCAACGAAACGTCCCTTCGCTCGTCACGCCCAGCTTCCAAAGCCATTACACGACTCAGACTCCCTCCCCAAGCCCCGTGCTGAGCTGGTCCCCTCTGGAGCCCACCAGCACCATTCACCAGTCCGCTACGGAAACCACCCTCCCGCAAAGGCCCGATCAGATCGGCGCTGCAGACGTACCGCGCGCAGCCTGTCGAGCCCACAAGCCAAAAGCGGGAAACCGAATCCAGGACGCCTGCATGTCCTGACCATGAGGCAACAGGTCTCATCCTCTGACAGTTGGGATTATTCAGATCACTGAAGCACTTTGCAGCTGTACCGTCAGGGGTGCAGCAAGGCATCGCATGCTAAAGTGCCTGCTGCGCAGTTGCCAAGGTATCTTTTCCCTTCTTTTTAGGCAGGGAGAAGAGAGTAAAAACTATCTGGCTCACTTAAACCCGACTATCCTTGCCATTTAACCTGGCGTCAAGGAGAAACACGAGCTACGCGCAAAATCCACCCCCAACTTCAAACAAATTCTTCTGATTTGGGCCACGTTCACATTGATTCTCCCAAATACATGGTCTCTCACTTAGCCTCCTCTTTCCGCAATGTTGCCACCCGCCTACCTCTGGTCCCTCTCCCTTCTTTCCAGACCCTCTCTCTTACTTTGTCCCTACCCATGAAGGCCCGCTCACAGACTTCCCTGCTCTAAAAAGTCCCTACCGCAACTTGCTTACCTGAGAAGTACAAGCGCTCTGCTCCTGTCTCCGACTCTCTTCCCTCCGCCACTTCCAGCCCAACGACTCCTCCTTTCCACGCTTCTCTGGACCTGCCCTCAACTCAGCCCCACGCCTTTCTCCTCCCAATCAAGCTTCCCTGGGTTTGTGTGTCACTGATCGCTCCCTTTTCCTTCCCCTTTGGGAATTCTGGCTGCTTTTCCCATCTTGGCACCCCTTTTCTAGGGTATCTTTGCCTTGCTCCTCTACGTTCAGCACCTCCAGAGCACGAGTCCGGGCTTCTCTCACCCCTACGGACTCAGCCAGCACCAACAGAAAGTTCCCAAACAAACCACTCCCTTGTTCCCGCTCTCCGGTCCCACAGCGAGCCTTAGCACCTGACAGCGTCTCATCTGCTCTCTGATGTTTTTCCAATACTTCAGTTTTCCAGCGGCAACCCTTTTTCCAGGCTCGCCACCACGCCGTTTGCTCTACTCCCGCTCTGCGTCCACGTTCTTTTTTCCAGGCTCGTGGGTTCCCCTCTACCAATATGAGGGGGCTGCTTCTGCCTTCTCTCAAGTCCACTGCCGGGCACTTTATCGTTTCCACATTTTCTCCCTCAGGACATTTCAAGTGCAACTGCTGTCACCTTCCATTTCTCTTTCAGTCCGAATCTCCTTTTCTTCGGTTAAGGTCCTGTATAGTCTCTGATTTCCTCTTTTTCCAGCACCTGCTTCTTGAAGCTCTGCACTCTTTCTTTCCTTCCTCCTGTTCTCTCCACCCTGCTTTACTCAGTCCGCTGCAAGCCCCGTCTCTCCTCGACTCACAGTTTTCTCTAGCAACGCCTCTGCATGTAGCCGGTAGAGTTGCTGTGGTTCAACCTTTCTGAAGCATCAGACAGGACAAGAAACACGCCTCACCAAGCGGTTAGGGAAAACATCCATAACCATCTCACAACGTTCTCTTGCTTACTTCAATTACTGTCGATAACCACTGCAGTTCCTCAAAGTCCTGCTACCCCGGAAGGAAGGAACATGCACATTAACATTACAGACTTCCCTTAAACACGCCGCCTTTCATTACTGCCTGAGGAAAGGAGAGAGCTCCATCTCAGTTACTAGTCCCCAGACACGTGTCACTTCACCAGCCATAACCGTCATCCCCAGCTACCTACTTACTCCAAACCAGTCCAACTGAGTTTCCATAGCACAGGTCAAACAGAAACAATTCCTTCCATGTGATGCAATTCCCAGGCAGGGCAGATCCAGGATCACAGGAAGACAAGATGTGCTCTACCTGTTCCCATTGTGTTTTGATTAACTACACCTAGGAGTTACTCAGAGAGGCCAACTCCAGGGCTAGTTGCTCTCTATCGTCCTGAGCCTCGGTACCCTCAACCTTTCACAGCTAAAACCAAGCGAGGCGGCCAGCCCGATGTCGCAGACTCCCCCGTTTTGGCACAGAATCCTTGATTGATGCTTACACCAAAGCAGAAGAGAGTTGCACAATCAGCTCTCGTCTACCACTGATATTTAAGAACTGTCAGAATCAGGAGAGAGAGCAAGAGCGTTCTTAAACCTGCCAACTGAATCAGACCAAATGTCTCACTCTGCAGACTATCAACAGGAGAACACCACTTTTCTCTGCGACCTTCCCTGTCTTCCAGCAAGGAGAGGCACTGATGAGATCTGAAATACGTCCCAGCCAGGACCCACTCTGTCATTTCAATCACAGAACCTGGAGAGTGAGAAGAAGTCAAAGACAAGTATCTTTTTAACATGGACGACACAACTGGATTTCGGTAACAGAGATGCATACCACAACTTAAAATCAAAAGCAAAAATATTCTTGCATTGATAAGAGTTTAACGTCAGACAGCTGGATGCTACGTGGAAAGGTAAATATTAACATTCCCATAGCAACATGAAGCTGCACGGCTTCCCCATATACAACGATTTTCTTATCATCTGTATCGTGGTAATACTGGACTACAGAAGTCAGGCCCTCTTGCGCTCAGCACTGTACAGAAACGTGAGCCCCCCGCCTCAAAGAGACTATTTGGTGACGTTTTCCTGCGTTTAATTCGCAAGGAGAATATACAGTCACGCTGTGTGCTTTCATTGTGGGGAAATTAGGAAACCCGTCTAGAACTAAACTTCCATGGCTTTCCTCATGTTTTCAGGCAAATAGCCTAAGTTTTGCATTATTGCATTTTTGTGCAGTTAGGTGTCCCATTTTCTTCTAAAGGGGAGTAAGAAAACAGAAGAGGGACAAATATTTTCTTCCAGAGAACAGCTAACGAAGCCACCATCCACTCAGTACTTATCTCCTGGCCTGGCTTATACCACTCCCGTTCTTTTTCTTCTGTCCATCTTACAGTGATTTACACAGGATTAGCCCCGTTTTACAGACAAAGCAGGGAAGTAGGATGCCTCTATGCCTTCAACGCATCCACATCTCATTCAGCGTATCACAGCGAGCAAGGACTAAAGCCCAGCTCTCTTGCCATTGTGTTATCAGAAGCAACCGTCAGGGACTGAAACAATGGGCACAGCAATAGAGGTGTGAATTTCCCAAAATAGGCCTTGTCTAAAATAGGAGTTAAAGGTCTCCTGTTAGACCCAGTCAGCTTCGTTTAATTATCACTGTCACAGCCTCTAGTCAAGGCTACCTCCTACCTCAGAAACCAACAGGAATTAAAGCCCCCTGCTAAAGAACAATTGCTGTCTCGACTGGAAGGCAGAGAAGGTGATAATTAGATTAAGCCTGCTAAGTTGATCCAAGATCAACTCTCCTCATTTGGATCTAGACGAGGCTCTAGTCATATTTTATACCCCAGAAAAACTCCAGGAGCATCAAGGGTAGAAAGCGTGTTTCCCTAAATGCCCCATTTGGGATATATGATGGAGTGAAAACTAGAACTCCTAGAGGAAACCACTTCCTACGAAGTCACCAGTAAGGCAACGCTATAAACGCAAAAGAAGTCCCTCTTTCCTGCATCAGCAAGATGGGCGGGAGGGCGGAGATTTGGGGGTTTTAATCTCATCTAAGGGAGATGCCACCAAACGCACAGAGGCAACAAATTGAGCTTTACACATCTCACATCCATCCTTTAAAACTTCCGAGTAAAAGTCAGGTTGAACACTGGCCAAAGCAACCTATTACACCACCAAAAACCACAGAACGCAACGTGGAAACGTGTTTTGAGGCGTAACTCGGATTTAGACAAGGCAGCAGCACACAGAACAGGGCGCTGTCAGAGCCTGAGGTTTTAACTTCTGGCCACTGGCAGGCCACGAGAATCAGAACACGTAAGTCCAGACACCAGGCTGTCAGAAAATAAAGTTGTAGAGACTTTATCAAAGGTATTAGGGCTACTGGCAGCGAGGACGGTCCCAGTTAGAGGACAGCAAACGTGTCCTGGAACGGAAAACTTTCACACGGACGCAACTGTTCCACCCGCTCAGCCAGGAAGGAGTCACTCACAGAATAACGCTGCCTACTTCGAGGGCTGTAACCACGACGGCTCCTAAAGCAGAGGGATCGAAAAGCAAAAGCGACCGATTCCAGCACGGAAGGACAACGAACGACGACCTCCGCCTATCCAGGGGCGAGCTCCGGACGCAGGCAACGGGGGAAACGAAGCCGCTGGCAGGTGC